TGTATGGATCTGGATGTGTCTTGATGTGTTTTCTCTCTCTACACATTGAGATTTTCTTGGACGCATTAACAGTTTTAAACCTGGTTAAATAATGTTTTGAAGATGGAGACACTAATTTAATGATGGAAAAAAGTATGTTTTGTACAAGACTTTTTTGTAGTTTACAGCCGTCCTGTTTTTGTGTTAAAGGGAGACCATGTTTGGGAGATGAGTATTTTGGGAACCTGACTCTCCAGAACAGTCTGGGTGTCCCACAGAGCAACAGATGTTTAACTACTCTGTGCAGCCAGCACTCCACCGCCCCGTCGCTGCCCCTCTCATTGTGTATTAACCAGCTCTACGTGTGTCTGACTCCTCCTGTCATTCACTCACTTCTGTTTGGGACTAATTAGCAACGTGCCTCCTCTCTCCCCCCGACTTCTACCCAGAGACCTCATCTCATTCTACTGCCATCTCACTGTTTACTGTTCTATGTAATAATCATCCAATCTCAACTCTCCTCCTCCCACCTTCCCTTCTCTCCCTCCTCTTCTCCTCCTCTGCTCCTCCCTCTCGTCCTCCTCATTATGTCCCGGTCTGAGTTGTGACGGCCACCATTAATCAACACGTTTTGTACGACGTTGAACCTTGCAACCCTCGACACCCACCCCTGCTCAACCAGGAAGTGTTGTATTCCTGCGGTCCATTAGGCCTGCCAGGGTGAAACAGGGGCATGACAATGGATGCAACAATAGAAACCACAGAAGATATTAGACTAGATTCCACAATAGGACACAGACGGAGGGAGAACAACAGGCCTTGTTATCCTCTATCTGTTGGGGATTTGGAAAGAATTTCCTTTTGCCTCAATGTCTCCTGGGATGCATTGTCATATTCTGCATTACTCTTGCACTGGCCCTTGTAATCTGTATCATGTTGAAAAAAACCCCCAAACAATCAAACAATATAAATAACACAGAGTGCATTCCACTGCCAAGGCCCAATAGACCCTTATGAAATCACATTTAAATTCACTAGACCTGGATTATTGTTTGGATCCACATCAAACTGAACATGCTCATAGCTAGCAGTCTCCTAAACATGCCTGAATTTTTTTCTTAAAGTCTCACGAGTTGTTCTCTTAGAAATCTACAAAAATGTTGAAAATCTCACAGGGTAAAAAAAAGTCAGAAGAAAATGACAAATATTGTTTCCTTCCATCAAGTTTCATTGAAATCGGTTAAGTAGTTTTTCCATAATCCTCCTTCTTGACCACAGCCAAGGTCCAAATCAAGCTGCACCAAATTGCACAAACTCATGAATTTCAGTTCCCTAAATATGTCTGATGTTTTTCATCAAGATGCATTGATTATTCTCTGGGAAAACTGTGACAATGTCGGAAAAACACTCACTTAAAGAAAGTGAAAAAAAATCCTGGATCTCCTCACTGATGCAGATCCAGTCCTTCCTTGACACATGCCACACCCTTTCATGGAAATGTATTCAGTAGTTTTTGTGTGATCTTACAAACAAACAAACTGACTTGGCGGGGAAGTGATTAGTACTAGCCCTTTTAGCCGTCATAACTGCTTTTGGAAAATGACACTGTAGCAATGAAACAATAAAAACTTTTAATTGATTTAAAATGTACCTTAATATCCCTGTGTGCACAATGCTGGAGTGGAGTCAACCTTTTCACCTCCTAACTGTGGTGGGTTGACAGACGTCGCCCACTGGCTTAACCTCTTTTACATTTGTGTATGAATAGAGGCAACATGAATGGTTCTTTTACAGCTGAGGAGAGAGAGAAGCAAGGGCCTGACTTGTTGTTCTGTGTCTCCCAGACTAACTCTTATCTGTGGGCCTGTTTGAGGGCCATGCATACTTTTGTGTCTGTGCTGGCTTAAACCTGAAATGTGCGATTACAGAATTCTCGCAACTCATCTTTAATACAGCAGTCACGATGTGAAAATTGCATGCTTGTTAAGTTTGCTATTCCACATGTGAGGGACTCTTTCCCATGTTCCCAGGGTCCTTCCCTAGATTTATATGTCACATATGGGAACACGATAAAGGCTCCTGTGTTCCCCAGCTCTGTAAAGCACATAAAGGGAACCTGAGTTGAATCCCTGCTCTGTATTCGTCTAATATGACGTGTTATTGTGGGAACTCATCAAAGGGGGTTTCTGTTCCCCAGTGGCTCTCAATACAGTAGACCTACACCTTAGATTACTTATCAAATAGGTTGTGGTAAAAAGTTGCAGGTTTGGGTTGTTGTGTTTATTTAGCCGATATTGAAACCTTGCTCATAATAATATAAATAATCCACGGAACATGTGAACCCTGGGAAATCTCTCATAGGTGTGTGCATCCTGACCATCTATTTTAATAATATCATAATAATTTAATAAATTGTCTTGTTTTCACTCTTTTCGCATCTGTAACATTTTTTATTTCTATATCTTTGCTCCATTGCTGTGTGATCTTCAATTGTCTTTTCTTTTTTTTCCCTTGTTGTTTGCCTTCACATAAGGTCTCTTGTGGCTGTGTTTTGAAAGGTGCTGCATAGATAAAGTGTATCAATATAATTAATGGAGTATGAAATTTAGTCCTACACTCTCCCGGTAATTAAGGTCTTCAAATGTCATTGATCAATAGTGACTTGATTTTTCAACCAGACCAAACACGGACACGCCAACCTCCCTCACCTGATCGTTCCATCCCCTCACCAGTATATTACCGTACAAAGTATCGAGTTATGACTGCTGTCTCTTTGGAAATAGATAAATGCTATGTGAGTGGGTTATATGGACACAAAGACTCTTTTGTTAAGGGCTGTTAATCTGACCATAAATCACAATTACATTATATCACCAAGCCTAATCTCCCAGTGGTGTGAAATTTCAAATGCGGTGTGCTTTGTCTTTATCTACAGGACCTTATCTCAAATGATGTGATATTTGTGCTCGGATACAGTGTCGTTGTCGTGACATATTGTATAAACTTTATTAAACGGTGTGATATATCCCTCTTTTCCTTATCTAATGGAGAACAGATCACAGAGTGCTAATTATTTTACAGCAGGCTTTTACAACCTCTGTTTCTTTTTTACTGTGGCTCATCTGGTGAAAGCAATAAGAAAAAAACAACCTATTCACCAACAACCATGACATTTACTTTATCATTAATAATGTCATGTAGAAATGAAAACCTTTTGACCTGTCATTTAGATGTTTCCTCCTGTCAGTGGACTGACTGAAAAATAAGAAGTATAAGAATAAGAATATATGCACAAGCTGCTCTATTTACTCACAGGAGGTAACAACAAAATAGATTAGATTGAAAATAAAAACAAAACAAACAGTAATAAAATATAGAAATGATATAATGACATGAGGAATACACATAGAGGGACTGAAGTAACTTTTAGAATTGCATTTGAGGTTGCTCACCTCAAATATTGCTGTCGCAAAGAATAGAGGGAAGGCATTTTCTCCTTTCATATAGTGAGTCAAAAGCGAAAAGAGACAATATCAGCATTTATTTCATGACATTAGCTCATTAGACTATAAGTGTTGCTGCTCCTGCTACAATGTGTCAGAGGAGGAACACATTAAAACCTTCTCTCTTTTATAAGATAAGAACGATGATGATTACTGATTTGATCAATAATATCTGAAACCCTTCGTATCATTATACTCCAATAATCATTTACTTTGATGGTCACACACACGCACACACACAAACACACACACAAACCCA